AATACTTTTTTTTTAAAATACATACATAAAATATTTCTTTCTTTACACACTTTAATTAAAAACAAATATTATAATTTTATGGTAACTGAAATTTTGTTTTATTCCCATCCCTAGTCGAGACACAAATTGGACTTTCTTTCAGTGCGAAATGAGGCAGAAAAGATGTCATATACAGTGTGTCCGGGCTTGTAGTGATCAAACTTTAAGGGCGTAATCTATGGACAATTTTATCGATGAAAATACTTTAATTTTGGGGCCTGACCTATTTCTCGAAAAATTACATCGATTTAAGTTTTTAATTTTTAGTTTACACCTCTTCTTTAAAAAACAAGTGAAAGCGTAGGTATCTTAACATTAATAGGCAAATATTTTATATCATGCGATAGCCAATAAAATTATCTATTAGTAGAAGAAGAAAGCAGACACAAGTTTCATACATTTTATGGGAGTAAGAATGGATTTAATTAGAAAAATACATTACTTTTTTCACTTCTTTTTCAGTTATTTTCCAACACAAGAAAAACCAGGTCGTTAAGGTATGTTTTATTTGCATTGTATTATTAGTATTTGAGCTATTCTACAAAACGAATGTAAATTTATTAGTCTACGTCTATTAGTTTCGACGTAATTGTTGAACAAAGATACCCCTTCCCAGCGGTTTCCATAGCGCACGCGACATGCGAAAATGCACTGCCTGAAAGAATCACACAACCTATTCCGATTACTATGGAAACCGCTGGGAAGGGGTATCTTTGTTCAACAATTACGTCGAAACTAATAGACGTAGACTAATAAATTTACATTCGTTTTGTAGAATAGCTCAAATACTAAAAATACAATGCAAATAAAACATACCTTAACGACCTGGTTTTTCTTGTGTTGGAAAATAACTGAAAAAGAAGTGAAAAAAGTAATGTATTTTTCTAATTAAATCCATTCTTACTCCCATAAAATGTATGAAACTTGTGTCTGTTTTCTTCTTCTACTAATAGATCATTTTATTGGCTATCGCATGATATAAAATATTTGCCTATTAATGTTAAGCTACCCACGCTTTCACTTGTTTTTTAAAGAAGAGGTGAAAACTAAAAATTAAAAACTTAAGTCGATGTAATTTTTCGAGAAATGGGTCAGGCCCCAAATTTGAAGTATTTTCATCGATAAAATTGTCCATAGATTACGCCTTTAAAGTTTGATCACTACATGCCCGGACACACTGTATATTTTTTTAATTTATTCAATACCAGAATGTCATAACTGCGGGCGAAGCTAGTTTAAGGTTAAACATCTATTTAAGTTTATAATAGAAAAGTTTCAAGCCAATATTGTCTTTTCTGAGCTATATTTAAAGTATTTTTAGAAACAATATTTTGTGAGGCAGAAAAGGTCTCATACGCACTGTAAAGAAGTTCAATATTGACTCGAAAAGACCTCATACGCACTGGCTGAAAGTCTACGAAAAATGGTTTCGCAGTGAGCGTGTTAATAAAGACAATAATTATAAAGACTAAAGCATGCAATACTCGTAGCTATCGATGACAAAAGTTGTTATCTAATTTCGTTATCTGAGAAGTCACTAAGACAAGAACCAATTCGTAGAAACGTCTGATTAATGAATATTGAATTACTCTCTTTATTCCATGAACGTTATTGTTTCACATTAAAGTTGACACCATCTGCCTGGTATACTGGTCTTTATAAGAATTTAATCAAAAGTCCTGAAATAAATAAAATGTTTAAATGAGAGTTGGCCATAAAGCGAAAATTATTTTACTACAAGTAATTGGGTAAAACTTTTCATGAAGATTGAAAAGCTTGTTGGATATTAAATAACAAACACGGTTTATTTCCCGATTTTTTTTTTAATTTTACTTTCAATATAAATATTACTTAGATTATGCACACCTATAATAAGTAGCACTAGGGTTCGCATGCTATTCACAAAAACATAACACCGGCAATTTGCGACGATTACGGGCGAGGGAGTGTCGTCAATTACGTTCGAATGAAACCCGCGAGCCGCCGCATGATTACTATTATAGTCTGCAGCTTGGGGAATCTCGATTTTTGTTTGCGAACATAGACAACCCATTTAATAGCTAAGCAACACGGTTATTTTCATAATCCTAAAGCGTTTATTCAGTATCTTAGTATAATAATTCAGTGTTCATTTAATATTCCTTTTTACCAGCAAGAGTGATAACACAACTTGATATTTAATCTTGTCCAAATTACTGAGAACTAAAATGTATACATTTGTTTTAATATAATGAATTAACTTTAAGAACAATTTATTTAGTATACAATACAATGGCAAAAATCAATTTAAAATATTTTAAAATAAGCATAATCATCACGTTACTAATAAATCACTGATCTTAATATAGCATGTCCGTCGACTCTTACACACAATGTGGTGATTATTCTCATCGTTTGTAAAGACGTCGACTAGTTAGAACATATAGCATCCTTTACGGTGATATCACTTAGTAGGTACAATAAAAACATGACGGCCAAGGAAACCGTGATTTGTTTAGCGCAACTAATTACACGTAAGGGACAAGTTATCTACTAATTAATTCAGTGTTTTCATTACAGCAGAAACGCGGCTCTTAATAAAATTTTATTCGTGCTTTAAATAAGCTAAGGCCGGCGTTAAATATTCACGCGTGTATCCGGCGCGGCTCAAACACACCGAGCGGTTGCCAACTTTTGATAACGCTCTTATTAATTGAAGCCCAATTCTACGAGTATGTACGCAAAATGTACCAACTTCAAACGTTGAACCGAACTTGATCAACTGTACAACTGAAAGCACTCAAAGCAACGATTTAAGTTATACTGTATACTGTAACATCCTACTTATTAAGAAGATAAAAGAGTATGTTTCATTTTATTGAACAAAATAAATATGAATATGATTCTGACAAAGAATATTAATAAATCTTCGCGTATTGGCACAAAAGAAATGAGCTTATTACAAACATATTTTATGTTAAATTCTTAACACTTCCCATGAACATTACAAAGAAATATATTTCTCGGTGTTTCAGAAGTTACATAATATTGCTCAAAAGAGCTGCAAAATGAAAAAACCCAAGGAAATTAAATACGCCAGGAGCATATTTCATAATAAAAAATCCTTTTATGCCTGTATTTGGCAGTCACCGAAATTCGACTCATCCTATATGATTGCAATAATGCCTACGTATAACGAGCGCCCATTTAATTTAACAGACTAGAGTTTATATTAAACCCGAAGTTCCGCAGTGTGGAGCTGACGTCTCATTGTTCACGCTAAAATAAGCCTTGCGGCAATGAAATAAAGACAATCGTTATTTAGTTCAATTGTATCACAGTAAAAATAAACAGTAGTACCTACTTAAAGGGGAGCATAAATTACTATGAAATATTTGCTGACTTACAAAGATTTCATAAAAACAAATTACTTTTCTAGAAAATAAGCTAAATATTGAATCAAGTAAGCATTCAAATCAAATCATTTTGGACATTTATTATTATCTATCCAAATTATTATTGCCTGATAATTGTTAACTTTTATAACACATACATGGAATATCAAGTGGCTGAGAAAACAAAGAAATACATAATTTATCTTATGGGGAAAAAAGGATTTCAGTTTGGGTGAAGACGACTGTCAAGTGTTCTAGACTACATTCTTCCCGCGATTCTATCCAAAGTCGTTTGCATAACAAAACACACCAACTGTACCGCCTCGTGCACTGTGGCCAGCCACCAGCCCCAGCGGTTCGTTTGCTCTGCGGCGCGCGGCAAAAAGCGTAATGAGCTGAGCGCGACGTGTGTTTTTGCGCATTATTCATTAGTGCCATGAATAATTGGATTTGGGGTTTTTGATTCATGGCACGAGGTATGAATTCCAATAGGCGTTTGTGTTTCAAAAACTTGGAACGGCGGAATGAATTACAATAAATTTTAATAATTATTTTGTTAATAAATAATGGTTAATGTAATGCACTTCAATTATTCCTGTGAACATTTACCATCTGGAAACTAGTACATTTTATGCGTATTACAGATACCTTTAATATTTAGTTATTCACACATAATACCTACTAGCATAAATACTCGTAAAGAGGAAAAAATAACCCCGGCATTGGTTCCGGCGATGACGGTTCAGCCGCGCCGTTCCCTGCCGCTTATCTATATATATAAAAATGAAACCCGTTTCGCGTTGTCACGGCATCACGTGTGAACGGCTGAACCGATTTCGATAATTCTTTTTTTTAAATGTTTGTGGAAGTCCAAGGATGGTTCTTACGGAAAAAAATATTAAGAAAATTAAAAATAAAGCAACAGGAGCAACAGTGGCCGCCTACCAATTAAGCCACTCGATAAATTATTTCGAACGAGGCAAGTTCAAGTCGTCGATAACCGCGCGAGCGCGACCTTTGCGACGAGCTTCATGACCTTGCGGACTCGAGCCGTGGCTTCTCGGGCAGCTGTTGACCGCGTACCTGTGTAAACTTGAGGCTAATCCATGACTATGAAGAGCGTAGGGTTACATCATAGTGCTACTCGAATTTCGTGTGACTAATAAATTTTAAAGTAAGTAAAAAATTAGTAATATTCTTATAGAATTTTGAAAATGTTATTACAAAATGTATTTTTGTAGCTCACCCACATCGGCGTTGTAACCGAGGCCGTAACCCACTCCCGGGAAGGCTGTCCGCTCCCATCGCCAGCGAGGCGTGAACCGCTGTCTGCGATGGCGGCCGATAACGCGGTAACGTTATTACAATAACGGTAATGCTCGTTAAATATGCAGCGACGACGACGCGGCGTTAATCACGACCGATATTCGTGGCGGCATTAGCGGTGCGTGTCCTGCGGTGTGCACAATCATTTTCATAACACGTCCCAACAGGGAGTTATCCAATTGTCACAAGTGCTCTACTCGTTGATGACTCTTGTAGGGCAGCGAAGTTGTTGTAGTAGGTGTTGTTATTGAAAGGCCGTGGTTTCACTAATTAAGTTTATTGCCAGGTCTGCACAGTTTAATACACACAATCACAAGTGTAATGGCCGGAGTACGAAACGCTACTGGGCGCGAAAGGCGCTCAAATACATACGTCACAAGATCGAACGAATGAAGGAATGAATGAGTTTTAGTGTTGGAACCCAACATGCTCCACCTCTACAAAAGGAGAGAACTCTTATTTATAAGCAAGTTACAATTACCAATAACAGCGAGCTATAATACATAAAAAAGGAACTGTGACGCATGTATAGACTTACATAAGATATTAATTTTCATATGAAAGGTGAATACATTTTACTTATACAAAGTTTAGTTACTACTCAATGAACAACGATGTCCAAAGGGAAAACAAAAAAATGGGAGTACAGCGCTACAAGGCAACCTATTTGTCACTATGTTACCTAGTTAGTACTTAACATTAACTTATAATTAATTATTATCATCCATAGGTAGAATACAGATATTACGAATAATATTTAACGTTACTTAAAAATTAACGTTACTTAAAATTAATTATTATCATCTATAGGTAGGATACAGATTTTACGAATAGAGCGCACATGGCTCTTTCTATTAGACCTTATTACTTCTACCGCTCTTACACGGCCATCATGACCAGGAAAAACCTTAGTAACTCTAGCCATGGGCCAAGACATTACAGGTACATTATCCTCTTTCAAAATTACAATTGTGCCTACCTTTACATTGGGTAAAACATCTAGCCATTTAGGCCTATTTTGCAAACTATTAAGATATTGCTTGTACCACATTTTCCAAAATGATTGTTTAATTTGATTACATAGCTGCCAAAATTTAAGTCTGTTAGAAGGAATATTTGTTACATCATTTTCAGGGTACATTGTTAATGAATTTCCTATTAAAAAATGTCCCGGTGTCAAGTAACTAAAATCATTTACATCTGATGACAATGGAATAAGTGGTCTTGAATTCAATATACATTCAATCTCAATTAAAATTGTATTTATCTGTTCATAGGTTAACAATTGTGATTGTAACACTCTTTTTAAGTGGTATTTAGTGCTCTTCACTGCAGCCTCTGCAAGTCCCGCAAATGTAGGCGAGTAGGCCGGAACAAAATGAAAGTTTATGCCTTGATTGGCAGCAAATTGACATACTTTATTTTGGTGACTACCAGATGCCTGCAGTGAATAGAGCTCAGCTAATTGGTTCCGTGCGCCTTTAAAGGTGCTAGCATTGTCAGAGTAGATTTCCCTGGGCAACCCTCTTCTAGAGATAAGTCGTTTGAGGCACGCTAGATAGGTTTCTGTGGTAAGATCTGATGCGAGTTCAAGATGAACCGCTTTTGTAGCAAAGCATACAAATACGCAGATATAGCCTTTACCCACCAGGGAGCGTCTCACGCGCGAAAGTTTTACATTTATAGGCCCAGCAAAATCCACTCCAACCTTTTCAAAGGGGCGACTCATAGCGGTCACTCTATCGGCTGGCAAGGAACCCATCAACTGCTTGGAGGCACTAGCCTTGTGTCTGAAACATAATACACAATCCTTAGTTAATTTCTTAACATACATTAAACCGTTTGTAATCCAAAATTTTTGATTTAAATTACACAATAATAGCTTCGGTCCCGCATGTAACAGTCTTTCATGCTCAGACTTTATAATACAATCAGTAATATGACATTTTTTGGGCAAAATAACCTGATGCTTATGTGCATATGGAATATTAGAATGGTGTAGTCTGCCGCCAACACGCAAAATGCCTTTACAATCTAAAAATGGGCATAGACTTTGCAAGGGACCCTTAACAGGTTTATTATTTCTTAAACATGAAATTTCGTCCTTAAAATATAATTCTTGTTCATTCTTAATTATCAACAATAAAGCATTATTCAATTCAGAAGATGACAAATAATTGTAAGATATTTTGTCACCTTTTATGTTGTTTACAAACCGCAATACATAAGCCAACGTACGTACCATCCTGTGTATGCTAGAATAATTACGTAAATGATCAAAAATGTCACCAGTGTATGTGGAGAGTTGACTGGTAGAGAATGCTGACCCGGACTTGGTCTCAGGTAAGTTTGCAGGTAAATCTATTTCAGAGTCAAAATTGTATTTATTATCGAGCAAAATTTCAGGCCCATCCCACCACATGCGACAATCGTGAAGCTCACTGGGTGAAACGCCCCTACTTACATAGTCCGCAGGATTGTTTTCAGTGTTTACATAAAGCCAGCGACAAACAGATAGATTTTTGGTGATCGCTTTAACCCTGTTCGCGACGTATGCATTAAGTTTCATGGGTTCTGCGTGCAACCATGCGAGTACAATTTTTGAATCAGTAAAACAGTAAACATTGTTTATATTATGTATTAATTTTAGCGTGCAATAGACCTTTGACATAAGAATAGAGAGTAGCAGGGCTGCGTTAAGCTCTAAGCGCGGCACAGTCTTGTTTTTGTCCTGAAGCGGATTGATGCGCGATTTTGAACATAGCAAGTGCATTTTTACATTACCATTAATATCTGTAACTCGCATGTACACGCAGCATCCATATGCCGTAGAACTGGATGCATCTGAGAATCCTATCAATTCAATTTTATCTGTATTATTAACATGTATATTTCTAGGAATATAAATTGGCTCCATCATAGCTAATGCAGCGGAAAACTCATGCCACGCATGCCTAATGTCATCATCAGGCGTGGAATCCCAGGCGGTTTTAGAAACCCATAACCTTTGCATGATAGCCTTTGCTTGCACAATTATAGGACTAACAAATCCCATGGGATCATACATTTTCCCAATATATGAAAGAATGTCTCTTTTTGTGCAATTATTATTATTACATGGCTCTGGACAAGACATTTCGAACTTGTCATCTTTAACTATTAATTTCAAACCTAACGTCTTTAACAGGCAGTTGTCTTGCTGAAGCTCTATATCATCAAAGTGGCGTTCAGCTGAGGGAATGTCAGTCAGTACCCTATTATCATTGGATGACCATTTATGTGTGTGAAAACTACCTAAGCTTAGGAGCTTGCGAAGTTGTGATTTTGCCTCTAGGATAATATCTAAATTATTATTTGCATACAGGATATCATCAACATATGTGCAGTTCTCTATAATAAATGAAGCCAGAGGATAGGTATGCTTATGTTGCATTGCTAATTCTTTTAGACAGCGAGTTGCTAAATAGTTTGAACTTTTTAACCCATAAGTAACCGTGTCTAATCGTATACACTTAATAGGTTCATCAGGGCTATCCCTCCATAGTATGTTTTGCAAACTAGCATGCTCCGGTATAATACGCACATTTCGAAACATTTGTTTTATGTCGGAAGTAAAGTTAAAATCGCCAAAACGAAACAGTAATAAAATTTCAAACAAATCTCTTTGTACAGTCGGCCCATTAAAAGCAAATCATTTAAAGACACCTTTTTGTTAGTCTTCATTGAACCGTCAAAAACTGTATGCAATTTAGTAGTTTTACTGTCAGGCTTTAAAACTGCATGATGAGGCAAGAAATAAACTGCATTTTTATTCAATTCATACAGTTCAATATCTACATATTGGCCATGTTGCAAGTTAATATAATCATGAATAAATTTTTGGTATTCAATAAAAAGATATGGATCATTATGCAGCCTTTTCTCTAAGTTTAAAAATCTTTTTAAAGCAAAATTAAAGGAATCACCTAGAGTATCATTGATTTCATCAAGAGGTAATTTTAAAGGTAAAGAGACTTCAAAACAATTTTCTTTCATCTGAACAGTACTTTTAAAAATATACTCGCAGAGCTCTTGCTCTGATGACCTTTCATCATAGATCTGAGGAACGCTTTCTGTTTTCCAAAATTTACTTAACGTTTCATTAATGTCAGACTCACAAGTAGTACACTTTAACGTTACCTTGTTGCAGACCTTAGATGAAATGTGTGGTAAGGTACCTCCAATTATGTATCCAAAATAAGTGTTGATAAGACGTGGTTGCGGAGTGCCGGCCTCTGTTGCAGACTGCTGGCGCTCAGGCAGCACCGGCAGCTCTGTAGGCAGCAGCACCTGGAAAAATACGTCCGCTCCCATTAATACATCAATCTCAGCTGGTATATTAAATTGATCATCAGCCAATTTAATATTTTTAGGTATCAATATGTCAGATGAACTGAATTTGTGTTGAGGTAAATTGCATGTGATTTGATCAACAACGTGACAAGTGGCTGAAATTTTATATGGACAAGTTATTGAGTAAATCTCTAAAGGTAAGCAATGCTTTAACTTTGTCTGTGTTGAAGTTATGCCCACTACTTTGACATTGCTATCGGTGAGGTCCAGATCAAGCAGCCTTACTGCCTTTTGTGAGATAAAGGACAGCTGGGACCCACTGTCTAGTAGGGCTCTTAAGTAAACTTCGGTACCATCTCGAGCAATAAGTTTGACTTTAGCTGTGGGTAAAAGTACATCATTATTATTATTATTGCTTGCTGCTAGGGAAGCAGTGGATGATGATGCCGTATGAGTTTTATCTGAGTTATTACTCTTATGTGCGCTGCAATGCAGCAATGTGTTGTGGGCCTCTTTACATTCTGCACACCGAAAATGAAATTTGCATTTTCCGGTGTGAGCCCCCAAACAAATATTACACAGGCCTTTATCGTTGGCAAATTTAATTCTGTCCTTTGCATGCAGTAATTTAAAACTGTTACATAAATAAAGTTTGTGTTTCAACTTACAGTATAAGCATGTAGACTCCTGCGCAGCTGTGTAGGCTACCATCCTACCAACGGCATTGCCTTGCTCCTTTTGCGGCTGGCGTTGCTGCCCGTGGAAGCCCGGATCAGCATTCTCAAGCGCCAGCGCTCTCTTATCCAAGTATTCAAGGAAGGTGTTGATAGTTGGCTCCTTCGTGGCATCTCTTTCCATTTGAAATGCACGTGACGTGTATGCATCTAATTTGCGGTACAAAATACATAATATTATAGCATCCCAAAATGATACGTTTGGCTCCAAATTACTTAAAGCAGATATTTGTTGTTTTACATTGGACACAAATTCTCTTAAATTAACTGCCGTGGATTTTGTGATTGGCTTAAGATCCAACAATAAACAAATATGCTCATTAACGAGTTTGTGTTTGTTGTTGTATCTGTCTTCAATAATTTTAATTGCTTGACTGTAACTTTCACTAGTCAAGGGTAAGTTTTTTACAAGATCTAATGGCTCATTTTTTAAATATGATCGAAGGTAATACAGTTTTTGAACATTGTCAATGGAATCGTTTTGATCTATTAATGAGTGGAATAAGTTTTTAAATGGTACATAATCCGAGAACTTACCACTAAATATTGGTACATCAATTGGTGGTAAATGCAATTTGGACATTGGAGCTGAGTGATTCCTATTATCACGGCTGTTAAGTTCTTGGTCAATTACTGATATGATGTTGTAATAGTTTTCCTCAAAAAGTTCGACATTTTCCTTGTCCTCTGGTTGGATGGTTAAAATCTTTATATTTAGCTTTTCGTATTGACTAAAGGAGTCTATCAATTTTTGCCTCTTAGCCATTAAGTTTTCTTTAGACAAGTTTTTAACTGACTGCGGTGTCGAAACAAGTGAAGTTAATCGTGTAATCGTACCTTTTACGTAGCCTCGCGCGGCTATTAGCTCGTTCAGCTCCATTGTCTTGTCAAATGCAATAAAATACAAATGCTATAAATCACTATGTGGCTTAAAATTACACACTACGAGTATCACTGCACGAGTTATGTCTTTCGACTTAAAAACAATAGCACTGCACACTGTAAGCAAATGGCGTCGGCGGTAAACAGCGTTGACAGATGGCAGCGGAAACAGCCGAAGCAGCAGCGAACAAGTGAACGATGACCGACGAGAGAACGAACGATGTTGTGCGTTGGCCAATCCTCGATGCGCGCGGAAACTTCAGGCAGCGCGAAGATGGATGTCACGCCCACTTCGTGAAGTAATTTGTTGCTGGCCTCGTGTTCCGGCGCCCCCCAACCCGCCGTCTTGCCGGGAATGCCGGGTTGCGTTTGATGACGTTTGATGATTGTTGCAAAACTGACTTGCTTGATATCTTGCAATTTGCTGGTTTTGCACACGATGAACGATTTTTCTTGCAGTATTGAGTGCGTGATTCTTAATGCGCACTATGCAGATGAATGCAAATTCCACAAAAGTAGGTAATGCAGGAGTTATATTGCGCGATGATGCGGCTCCCGTTGTTGTATTATGTGTGAATTGCAGGAGTTCTGTTGCGCGATGATGCGGCTCCCGTTGTATTATGAGTGCGATTTCTTGATGCGCATTATATGAATGCAGTTTCCACTGTATTTTTGTAGATATAATTGCAGGAGTTCTGTTGCGCGATGATGCGGCTCCCGTTGTATTATGAGTGCGATTTCTTGATGCGCACTATCGGCACTATGTGAATGCAGTTTTCACGTGTATGTAGGCACAATGCAGGAGTTTTGTTGCGCGATGATGCGGCTCCTGTCCCACTTTATACACAATGGTGCAGACCAGGCAGTTCGAAGCTCGAAGGACCATGTAGGGCAGCGAAGTTGTTGTAGTAGGTGTTGTTATTGAAAGGCCGTGGTTTCACTAATTAAGTTTATTGCCAGGTCTGCACAGTTTAATACACACAATCACAAGTGTAATGGCCGGAGTACGAAACGCTACTGGGCGCGAAAGGCGCTCAAATACATACGTCACAAGATCGAACGAATGAAGGAATGAATGAGTTTTAGTGTTGGAACCCAACAACTCTACAATAGATATTGTGCTGGGCTGTTAACATTTTAACTAGACTGGAATTTCAATTAACTTCAAAATGTTGTTGTTCTCAATTTTATTAAACTTTATTTTTTCTATAGGTGTATTTGTTTATATGTATAACCCACATTACATATTAAGTTACACCCATTTTCAATATTGAAATAATTCATCTTTACAGAAGTAATGAACATAAAGAAAACTTTCCAAATTGGCTATTTCGTGGTGGTACGATCGTACGATTTTAGAAGCTTAATAGTTTTGTTGCTCCGTATCGGATTAAGATCACAACTCCAGTTTCAAACAAACCATGCAAGTGAATCGAAGTTCAGTCATAAAAGCTTTTGATAAAGCGCGGTTTATACTAATGGAGTGCACTGGCGGTGATGTTGTTCTCATATTTAGTAGTTGTAGTACATTACATAGCTACTTATAAAGAAACGTAACACGCTAAACGATCATAATATAATACAAAAAACATACTCTTTAGTTTGCTTTTGTTTTGTGCCCATCTTACCTAACCTCCGGTCTAAAAAGTTCCTTAAAGCTGGAGAATTTTCCCTAACTAATAAATTAAATACTTATCATTTGGATTGGTAAACTTTTAAAAATAGTCTTATCTCACATCATCTACGACTCACATTATTTGTGAATTCTTAACAAAAACTAAACTCCGTTTTGTACGATAGTCACGTAGAATTTTTATGGTTCGTGCTCGAATATTTTGCTGGGCAGTAATTTTTACGCAACTCGGCGTTTTTCAGCAAGTGATCGTTCCGCAGAAAATCAAAAAAAATCAAAATCAAAAATATTTATTCAGTTTAGACCACAAGTGGCACTTATGAACGTCAATAGAAAATAATAAAAAAAGAAAAAGGTAGCCCTTATGGTCAGTGCGAGTCGCGCGTCTTGGATCATCATGCATCATACGTACGGTCGTATAAAAATGCGATTATTAATTTTTATTTACATCTTCCTCATTAGATTTTTTAATACAAGCCTTACACAGCTTACAAGTACTGCAATAAAATATTTGTTACAAGACCACGTCATTTGCGCTTTCATAGTCAGTGTCAAGCGAACGACACTCGCGTTCTCAGTAATCCGAGATGGTCCGAGATAACCCGGTACGTGAGCAGTGTCTGTGTGCGTTAGTCGAGCGCACGTTGTATGTAGATTGTCTTCTGCTCATTTGTATTTTGTGTCCTGCCCGCGCTCGCCCGCTCCGCCCGCCGCGGCCGCATTGTGCGGGATGGCGACTTGACCCACATATCGCGCGCAGGCATTAGACCTGTATTTTCAGAGCAATAATAACATGCGGATGTTTTATATGATGTGTGCTCGCCGCCTAATGGAAGCCTATGTCTTATCATTGTCTATTGTTTGCAATGGAAATAGTGCCTTTGTTTGGCAAGATCTCTCTTTCTTCTGGAACGTTATTTAACCCACATCCAGTTTATTCGAAAAGAAGATTTTATAAACTTAAGTTTACACATTTAACTTCTTTGAGGTAGCATCTATGCAAAAAAAAATAAAGTAAAGAAAATGCTTCAAGTGTAACTTGTCAAAAATAAAATGAGAATAAATCAGATCAGAACATTCAAGTACCTGGGAGATGACAGCAATTTTGAATTGATTGCCGTTGTACCAATTAGATGCACAAATTGTTCCGAGCGCGCATCACTCAAGGCACGATAACCTGTGGACGCTCCACCTGCTCCCGCGCGCGGGAATCTTTTCGGCAAACTACACGCGGCCTTTGTGCCCGCCGTAATTAATTCCGCCGTTATGCAAATTTCCGTTTCCACTTCTGTCTCGTTCGACTATTTAGCATTTCAATGCTGTAATTTTCTTCCAATTATGCAAATTAATTACTTCTGATCATCCGTAATTGGAACGAATCGAAGTGGATCTCAATTTTTGGTAAATATTTGCGTAGATAATTCGTAATCAAGTTTAGTCATCAATTTAACATCGAAATCTACTTAAAGAGCTATAAGTTGAAGAGCTGAATAATGCAATATTGATGCAATATTCAAATCGAAGGGATCTTAAGATACCTAATTGCAATACAATTATTCTAGCTCATTGTTGTGGTAGTGGCAGAAAGCAATAATTTTAGACGTTGATGGCTCACCACATAACAGCAGCGACAGATTTAATGTGTCAATGGTTCTGACCGAGCAGTAATCACGCTGCATCGGGATTGCAATTTGTCCGGCCCCGCGCGAGATCAAAGAACTAATTGAACAGCGAGCGGCGCCGCGGTATCGCACATGGCGATGATTGCAGCACAATGGTGATACTGACGTGACAGCACTGACAGCAGAGCGGGCTGTCTCTAGGGTCAATTTTTAGAATAGACGTTACTTTGTAACTTATTAACACAATTAGTACATAAATCAAGTACCTACCTTATGTATTTAAAATTCACACAATACTTTAATACGCAAGCATACTCAATAAAAAAATCAATTGTCTGGAGCCGACGATGTCGCGGCGCGACAGCTCGAAAGCCTGGCGATAAATAAATAAATGATGAAGGTTAAATATTTCATTTAAATCTACAAGTTAATGTGGCAAACGCAATTAAAAGACTCCCCCTACATACTTCATTGCTATCATTGAAGTCGATTATATACGAGTATTTGTCCCAATTTTAGGTGAGTTCATGAAATCCTCTTTAGCGAAGTTGCGACCTTTGTTTCCTGTGAATCCCATCCCAACTAATCCCAACTAATATTATAAATGCGAAAGTAACTCTGTCTGTCTGTCTGTCTGTCTGTCTGTCTGTCTGTCTGTCTGTTACGCTTTCCCGCTTAAACCTCGCAACCGATTTTGATGAAATTTGGCATAGAGATAGTTTGAGTCCCGGGAAAGAACATAGGATAGTTTTTATCCCGGTTTTTGAAACAGGGACGCGCGCGATAAAGTTTTTCTGTGACAGACAAAATTCCACGCGGGCGAAGCCGCGGGCGGAAAG